CATGATGAAGTACTAATGGCTTCCAAACTGTCATGAAAATACTTTTCAGAACAATCTGGCACATTACAATGGTATGGTTTCCTCTGCGACGTCACCACAATGCCTTTTAAGATTCATTAAAAAGATCGATTTTAAAGTATAAAGGAGTTCAGATGTTCTGCAGTTAAGAAAACAGTAATGTCTATAAGACCATTTAGGAATGTCTATAAGACCATATCCCAAGCCTTACTTATCTCTTTCTACGGTCCTAAATGCACTCTACAGACAAACTCCATTCCTTGTTTACTCATGAACACAAATCCATCATTCCTAGTCTCCATTTTAATTGTTTTCTTTTTTTTAGTTCTAAAATTTGAAAAGTCATCTCCACTACTTATTAGTGATTTATAGAGACTCTAACTCCTCTCTCCCTGGCATTCTCCAATGAGCATGCACATACACACACACACACACACACACACACATCAAATCTCCAAATGGTACTGATTATTGGTGAAACTAGTGTATACTTTTTATGGAGACATGACTTCCAATCAATTTCTCTGACCACCCTTAAATACTGGAAGCCATTACATCTATCTTCAGTCTACCAGACACTGAAGACTGACTCCCCAAGGGAATGGGTTCTCACCATTACTGAGCACCTAATGTTTGTTATTGTTATTGTTATTATTGTTATAATAATAGTAACAGCAATGTCAAAAAGAACAGTAAACAATATAGCTAAGTCTATGATAATTACTTTGCATATCTATTAATCTATGCAATGAAACCAAAATTGGCTGTTGTATTCACCTTTTACAAATGAGTTAAGTTATAAGAGAGAATTTAAATAATTTGCCAAAGGTAATTTTGTCAGTCTGTGCTGTTTGCTTTATTCAATTCTAGATGCATTGATTCTAGATGTATTAACTTCCAAAGATTAACTTGTATGTTTTTTTCATACTGTCTGATAGTTTAAAGCTCTTACCAAATTTATTATTATTATTACTATTATTATTGCATTGGGTACATTTATGTCTCTGTTAATTTGATTGTTACATTTTACAGAGAAAGGTTTGTATGATTTTTATCTATCATCTATCTATTTTTGTGCTTGGTATAGTGGCCTATTAAAAATAATATCCATTAGGTGTTTACTGAATTTAGTAGTTAGTAGAAAATAAGTCATAAGTATTACAAGAGTACCTCATCACACCGTTTTAAAAATTTAGTTTTGTTTCCCATAACCTCATTTCATTTAATGCTAAAATTAAATATACTTAATTTCTCCACTTGGAGAGAATTGGATAAAAGTGGAAAAGAGTTCTGATTTTGTCATAAAGCCCATTAATAGCTCCAGTACAAATTCTGTTAAATCTCAAATTAGTTCTTTTTTTTTCTTTTCTTTTTGTTTTTTTTTTCCTTGATTTTTTTTTTTTTTTCTTTGTACAAGTGTGTGGGCTGTGATCTTGACAAGCTTCTGAAAACTCTTATCAGATTCTGGTTGCTCTGGTGACCAGCCATCTGCTTATACAATTGCAATTTTATTTCCTTCAGAAAATTAGGATAAAAAAAGAATTGAGAGCCCCTATGCTTTTTTTTTTTTTTTCATCATCCTATGTCATTATAGGCTGTTAGTATTGGAAACTAGAAATAATGATCATCCAAATAGTCTTCAGAAGAAAATCTTTGATAATATCTGAAATTTAAGGGTTATGAATGTTAATAGCTCCTGGTAATTTGCTAATAAAATCATTTTGCTTAATATTTAAAACTAATGTAAATATAAATTCTGTTTTTAAATTAAAATACAGCTGACACACAATGTTACATTAGTTTCAGGTGTACAACATATTGACTCAGCAACTCTATAGCTACCACCTATCACCATAAAATGCTTTTGCATTACCATTGACTATAATTCATATGATCTATGTAGCTTTCATCTTTGTGACTTATACATTCCATTACTGGAAGCTGGTACGTCCCACTCTTCTTCACTCATTTTGCCCATCCCTCTAGTCCCCTTCCTTCAAGCATCCACCTGTTTGTTCTCTGCATTTATAAGTCAACATGTTCTGTTGTCATTGCTGTTGTTCATTTGTTTTGTTTTTTAGATTCCACAGTAAGTGAAATGATGTTCGCATTTTCCTGTTTGACATATTTCACTTATCATGTTACCTTCTAGGTCTGTCCATGTGTTCCAAATGAAAAGAGCACATTCTTTTTTATGACTGAGTAATATTCCATTTCATTTATATATAAACACTCTACATCTTTATCCACTCCTCTATCTATGGACACTTATGTTGCTTCCATATCTTGGCTATTATAAATAATACTGCAATAGCCATAGGAGTGCATATATCTTTTCTACCTAGTGTTTTTGTTTTCTCCAGTTAAATACCCAGTAGTGGAATTACTGGATCAAATGGTATTTCATTTCTAATTTTTTGAGGAATCTTCATACTGTTTTCCACAGTGTCCACCAACAGTGAATGAGGGTTCTTTCTTCTCTGTATCTCACCAACACTTGTGACTTCTTACATTTTTTTATATTAGTCATTCTGACAGGTGTGGGGTGATAGCTCATTGTGGTTTTGATTTGCATTTCCCTGATGTTTAGTGATGTTGAGCATATTTTCATGTGTCTGTTGGCCATTGCATGTCTTCTTTGGAAAAATATCTATTCAGGTTCTCTGCTCATTTTTTATTCAATTTACTTGGATTTTTTTGTTTGGTGCTGAGATGTGTAAGTTCTCCATTTTATAATTATTGTTGGAGTATGACTGGCATATAATGTTTTATTAGCTCCAGTTGTAAAACATATTTAATAATTCTATATATGTTTGTATAATCTTTACATAATATATATTAACCCCTGATCAGCTATGTTATTTAAATATAATCTCCCATTTAATAGGTTGCCTTTTTGTTTTGTTGAAGGTTTTCTTCACTGTGTAAAAGCTTTTGGTGTAAACCTATATTGCTTTTGTTTCCCTTGCCTGAGGAGACATATCTAAAAAAACATTTTTAAGACTGATGTCCAAGAGATTACTGCCTATGTGTTTAAGGAGCTTAATGGCTTTAGGTCTCATATATTGGTATTTAATCCAATTTTTAAAATTTATTTTTATGTAGGGTAAAAGAAAGTGGTCCAGTTTCATTCTTTTGTAATTGGCTGTCCAGTTTTCCCAGCATCATTTCTTGGAGAGACTTTTTCCCCTCTGTATATTCTTGCCTCCTTTGTCAGAGATTAATTGACCATATAAGCATGGGTTTATTTTTGTACAATCTATATTGTTCCATTGAAGTTAATATAGACACATACATAAAGTGAATGAGAGTTTTTATTTTTAATTTTAAGAGAATCATTCAAAATGGTTGTGATACGTAATACCACCTATCAGATTAATATAAAGTTCAGATTAATATAAATTTCAGATTAATATAAATTTCAGATTAATATAAAGATGACAATAATTATAACTGAACCACTTATATAGGAGGAAAATGAAAGGAAGAAACTGGAATAGAATAAAAGAAAACAAACACTGCTGTGAAAATTTCTTAATTTTGTAAATTTTATAAAATTATTGTGATCATATTTAAACATTACTAAGACCCCTCCCTGTGCCTGGGTAGAGGCCCATACAAAGTGAAGTCCACAGATTCTGAGCTTTATGAGTTTCTTAATATTTCTGACTCTGCTCATTACATATTTTTCTTACCTTTTTGAGGTATCATTGATAAAGAAAAAATTGCACACATTTAATATACACATCTTGATGAAATTGTAAGATGCATACACCTATGTATACCAATCTCCACAACCAAGGTACTAAACATATCCATCACTTTCAAAAATTTCCTTGTATTTTTTTAAATTACATTAAATATTTATTTTTAAATCTGAAATCTCTTCTCAAGAAGGTCCCTAGAGTAGGACATGACTCTGTGTGTGTGTGTGTGTATGTATTACCCCCAGATGGTCTACTGACACTAGCATAAGGTGGTCTAAGCAGTCTTTCAAAAATAAATCCACCCACAAAACATATATTTAAGGAACACTAAAATAATAAGACAATAGTGAAGGAAGATGTAGTATAGGTATAAATAACAATTAGGAAAAGTTTAAGTTCTATATTTGAGTCCAAGAATTAGCAAACATTTCTGAAAATCAAAAACAAAATAATGCCTTTGAATTTCAAAGTGTCATTTCCAAACATTATTCTGGGGGAAAAAAAAAAACAGAAAATTAGAAAAATATATAGGGAAAGAATAAGAGAAAAAAAATCAATGTGAAAGTAACAAATTCTCTAAAATCTGTTTTTCAAATTTCATGTTTTTAAGATTTATTTATTTATTATTTTAGAGAAAGAGAGAGCATGAGGAGAGGGGCAGAGGGAGAAGGAAAGACAATCTTAAGCAGGTTCCATGCTTAACACAGAGCCCAACATAGGGCTCACTCTCATGACCCTAAGATAATGAGCCAAAATCAAGAGTCAGACAGTTAACTGACTGAGCTACCAAGACACCTCAAGATTCTCTTTAATTTAGATTATTATATGTCATCACCCACTTGTTCTATTAGCGTTCTATTGCTCACAGAGCAAATTACCACAAATTTGTTGTCTTAAAGCAAATTTATTACATTATAGTTCTCTATCTCCAAGTTTGACACAGACCTCCCTTGGCTAACATCAAGGTGTGGACGCATCTTCATGCCCTTCTAAAATGTATTAGGAGAATCCATTTCCTTGCTCATTCAAGTTACTGGGAGAATTCAGTTTCTTGCAGTTGTAGGTCCAAGTTTTCTGGAGTCTACAGGTCTCCCACATTCCCTGACTCATGGACTTCTTCTTCCTCTATTTTCAGAGCCAGAGATGGTAATTTGATGTCTTTTCACATTGTATCTGTGTGATCTACCCTTCTGTCTTCATTCTCCATCATTAAGAATCACATGATTAAAATGGGTCACCTGAATAATCCAGGAGAACTATATTCAGGTCTTTAACCTTTATCATATCTCCACAGTCTCTTTTGTCATGAATGTATGTATTTACCTTTTCTGAGGGTTAAGGTATGGAAATCTTTGGAATACTGTTATCTTCTTCCTATATCATTTTCCTCTGGAAAGTCTTGAAAAATTAGGGAAAATAATATTCTAAGTCTGAATGGTAATATATGCCAAGCCCAGAGTAAGAAAGCTGCAAATATAAATTTTACTAATAGGTAGAAATCAACTATCACCCTAATTTTGTTTTAGGTATGTGTGTCATAATTATAACTGCCATGTAATATTATGTGAAACATTGAGAACTCTTTTGCAGATATGGAAATGAAATATTTGTATTTTCTTCCAATATAACAAAAAAGCTAAGAAAAGAAACACCAAAAATAAATGATAATTTGTAAAATTGCTTTGGTTGTACTCAGAAGTTTTTTTTTGGTTGTTTGTTTTTGCTTTTTAAGATACCAGTATTATTTTAGAAATTTTGATAGAATACACAAAAACAATCACCTCCATGCCACATTTTACATATACTATATAAGTAAGACACTGTAATTGTGATACAGTCATAATTGAGACAATTTAAGCAAGTTATTTCTGAAAAGTGGTCTATAATATAATAAAATACACACACGCAGAGTTTCTTAGGATTATTGAGATATAGGCAGATAAAAATCTAGCAATAATGAGAACAAAATTAACATATTCATTGTACCTGTGTTTGATCAACCTAAAGAGAAAATCAAATACTTGTTGATGTACTATAATCAAAATGGCTTCTGAATCATAGGCTCAGTTCAATAGAATTGATGATTACTGAAGAAAAAAATAATGCCTACATAGAAGTATTTTATGCCATTTGTAGATTAGCCTTATACATGAAGGCTAATGAAAATATATATTTTTCATGATATTCTTGACCTAACAATATAAATTATTCTTGGCTCTTTATCAAATATCACTTCTGGTCCTACCTCTTGTGAAGCAAAAAATATACTGTGGTAAATATATATATTTACCCCAAACATACAGATGTAGTGAAAAGAAGGGCCATATGAACCCCAATCCTCACAGCAGCAATGTTCACAATAACCAAACTGCAGAAAGAGCCAAGATGCCCTTCAACAGAGGAATGGATAAAGAAGATGTAGTTCATATATACAATGGAATATATATATATAGTTCATATATACTGTGTTTAGTATAGTGATATCATCATAAAACAGTGAACCCCAGGAACTTTAAAGTCTTAAATGAAGATGAAGTTTTAATTATGAATTGTTTTGATTGAATTTGCAAAATTAGACTGAGTCTGAACTGTATATAAAGTTATTAAGAAAAGGAACATATAATGGACCTTTTTCTTAATGATCTAAAATTCTTAAAAAAGAAAAAAAAAACAAGTGGGAGCCAAATAAATAAATAGACAAATTTGTATTTTCTGTTGACTAATCAAAAGAGTTGCAGAATTATTTGGTCATTAAACATTCCATGGCAATTCATTATTTGTCCACTTCTGGAAATAGTGCTAACTTAAAAATCCCATATGATTTTTCAGTGCAATATAGTAGGTGAGACTATTTGGTGTATATCTCCATGTGCTATACCTACACTAATTTAAAAGGGTACACTAATAACTATTTAAGGCAAAGAAAAGATTTAAAAATATTGATTGTTGTCAAATAAAAAAAAAAAAAAAGGGCTCTCTGCTCAGCAGGGAGCCTGCCTCCTCCTCCTGTCTCTCTCTGCCTGCCTCCTCCTCCTGTCTCTCCCCCTCCCCCTCTCCGCACCCTTGATATCTATCTGTCAAAAAAAAAAAAAAAAAAAAATTGATTGTTCTTTTCAATACTTGAAGCCTGTTTTTTTAGGGTTTTGACTACTATGTTTTTTTTTAGGGTTTGACTACCCTGTTTTTTAGGGTTTGACTACTAAATTTAGGGTTGACTACTATGTCACAAACATGTGACAGATTCACATGTCCATCTCAATTAATATACACATACTCCCATCAGGTAAATTAATGTCCATTTGATAGAATAACTTTTTTTTAATATACTAGCAGAACTATGCTGTCTGCACTTAATGATAGCTTTTCCAGATTTGAGTATAGGACTTACCATGTTTTCTGTTACAGGGTAAAAACAAATTGACACATGGTCAGTTCATATATATATATATATATATATATATATATATATGGAAAATGGTTATACCACTTTGTTTTATAAATTGATTTTTGCTTTCCTGTATCAGCATGATGGTGTTTATCTAGTGAGTGCAGCCATTTTTCATAAGCAAAGTTGCTAGGAACATTAAGACATTATATCCTCAAGGTGTAGTCATCCATCTAACTATGCAAAGGAGTAAGAATTATCTTGTTACTTTTAAGATGGTACACAACAGTATTTCCCTGAAATGTTAAGTGATGTATGATGTTAGTTTTACAAGATCATCCTAGTTTATATCAGTTTAATATTGGGCAGTAAGAGAAATATAATAGACCATGTTTTTGGCATCCATTAACAATATAAACATTTCATAAACTTTGTTAATGACACCAGGAATGTCAAGAAAATATAGCTGATGCTGCCCAAAAGATAGCTTAAGATAGTGAGAATTTCTCTCCTCCATGATACAGATACCTACACTACACTGTATTCTATTGTGTAAGTTTTCCTTTTTTCTCTTATTATGTTAGATGAAAATTAAAATGACAACCTTCTCTACACATGCACTCGTAGAATGAACATTTTAGAAATCTCTACACTACAGTGTCTGTTATTCATGTGGTATATTAAAAAGTTAACACAATATTAAACATCAAAATGATATACTGGGGAATTTTTAGCAGGGTAATCCCAGACCTATATAGAGAATAATTCAAGATCTATAAACACAATGGATTTACCATGTTAAAAACTGAAATCATTTTCCTCCTTCTCAAAATATCCCCCATTCTTCATTATGGTTAGGAATCCCTTGTGATTATTTTATACATCTTAGACAAAGTTCTGCAATATGATTCTTATAGACAATTTCAGATAAACTTACTGGAGAACAATTATGATAAATTCAGAGATTTTCAACTTCTAAATAGTCAGTCTTGTATTTTATCTAATTGAATCTACAAAAATTACAAGGAATATTGTCAATATAATCAGTATTGAATAAGTTACTCTTATTCAAACTCTCAGGCCTTCTACCTTCTTGAATTTCAATGACAGACAGCACTAGAAATTAAAAATAGACATATTAACTTGTGATAATGATAGTGATAGTGATTTTACTTTTCTAATATAAAGCCACATTTGCTGGGGTGCCTGGGTGGCTCAGTGGGTTAAAGCCTCTGCCTTTGGCTCAGGTTCTGATCTCAGGGTCCTGGGATCGAGATTCACGTTGGGCTTTCTGCTCACTAGGGCGTCTGCTTCCCATCTCTCTCTCTGCCTGCCTCTCTGCCTACTTGTGATCTCTGTCAAATAAATAAATAAATAAATAAAAATCTTAAAAAAGAAATAAAACCACATTATTTCCTCATTAAAGCATCACTTTTAAAAATATATGTGTGAGAAATTCTTTATAGATCTTGGATATCAGCCCTTTGGCTGTAGTGTCATTTGCGAATATCTTCTCCCATTCTGTGGGTTGCCTCTTTGTTTTGTTGACTGCTTCCTTTGCTGTGCAGAAGCTTCTTATCTTGATGAAGTCCCAAAAGTTGATTTTCACTTTTGTTTCTCTTGCCTTTGGAGACCTGTCTTGAAAGAAGTTGTTGTGGCCGATGTCGAAGAGGGTACTGCCTAAGTTCTCTAGGATTTTGATGGATTCCTGTCTCATATTGAGGTCTTTCATCCATAAATTCAAATCAAAACCACATTGAGATACTACCTTACACCAGTTAGAATGGCAAAAATCAACAAGTCAAGAAACAACAAATGTTGGGGAGGATGTGCAGAAAGGGGAACCCCCTTACAATATTGGTGGGAATGCAAGTTGGTACAGTCACTTTGGAAAACAGTGTGGAAATCCCTTTAAAAATTAAAAATAGAGCTACCCTATCACCTGGCAACTGCACTACTGGGTATTTACCCCAAACATACAGATGTAGTGAAAAGAAGGGCCATATGAACCCCAATCCTCACAGCAGCAATGTCCACAATAACCAAACTGCAGAAAGAGCCAAGATGCCCTTCAACAGAGGAATGGATAAAGAAGATGTAGTTCATATATACAATGGAATATTACTCTCAGCCATCAGAAAAGATGAATACCCAACTTTTGCATCAACATAGATGGAACTGGAGGAGATTATGCTGAGTGAATTAAGTCAAGCAGAGAAAGCCAATTATCATATGGTTTCAATTACTTGTGGAACATAAGGAAAAACATGGAGGGCAATAGGAGAAGGAAAGGGAAAATGAAGGGGGGAGGGCGGGAGACGAATCATGAGAGACTGTGGACTCTGAGAAACAAACTGAGGATTTTAGAGGGGAGGGAGAATGGAGGATGATGAGCCTGGTGGTGGTTATTAAGGAGGGTATGTATTGCATGGAGCAATGGGTGCTATACATAAATGATGAATCTTGGAACACTACATCAAAAACTAATGATGTATTGTATGGTGACTAACAACACCATATATATATATATGTATATGGTGTATGTACACACACATACATACACATATACATATATATACACACATACACACACATACATATACACACATATACACACACATATATATGTATACACATACATACATACATGAGTGACACTGAGATAACACAAGTAGTCAGACTAAAAAATAAACTCAGAAGAATTGGAAGCATGAAACGTTACTAATAAGTCAAAAAATAGAAGTGATCAAAAAACAGGTTAAACATGAAATGTGAGGTAGCTGACACAAATTTTAGTTTCTACCTCACTGTATTAGCGGGCAATCTGACTGAGCCTAAATATATGAGGTGTCTAAGCAATACACAAGTAGTATACATGTGGTATCTCCTTCAGAAAAGGAAGATATTTAAATTAGAAAATGTCTTC